TACATACATACATACATACATACATACATACATACATACATACATACATACATACATATATATATATATATATATATATATATATATATATAAAGGGAAAAGAATAATTCTTATAGACTTTGTTTTATTAGCCAAATCTTAAGAACACTGTTAATCCACAAAATAATTCTACAAGGGTCACAAAAAGCAAAGGAGAAACTCTGGAAAGTATCTCTACCTATTGAAATTCTATGGAGATTATAAATGAAAACAAAGTCCTGTTCTAAAATAACAAATCCTAATTAGGTAAGAAGGATGCCAAGCATAACAGACACCTATGTTTGAAGATGTCAGACAATTGTCAGTAGGAATTCACGCCAATTTATGAAATTCCTAAACGATTCCGGCAGTAATATTACTTGATCCTGAAAACCATTTGACTTACACAGAGACTGAATAATTAATCTATTGTATAATATTATATTTTAAAAGAGAAATGTGATTGTAATAACAATATGAACCAAATATTCCATTATTGGCTGTATGATGAAAATAGTTCTAACAAGTGATATAAGCCATTTGTACTAACTGATGCAAAGCGTTAAGTTTATTTTATTCCATGGCTCATGTTTGCATAAGATTTGCTTTTTTAACATATTATAATGCTGTACTCATTTCTCAACTTTTTATTTTTTAATTTTCTGATAATTGTTTTGTCAATATATGTATTCCAGTTTGCTTCTAGGTTTTGCTATATGAGTCTTACTACCTTTACTGACTCCCAGGCTTAGGTCCTAACTCTGCCTAACTCTCAATTGAACAAAATATTTTGAAGTTTAGCACACTTTTGAATTTCATGCTCAATTTATTATCACTGACTCTAAAATCTTATAGCCTCTAGATTACAAATCATATTAAAATAATATAAATTATTACATACAGTGTTCAAAACTATCTACCTATCAATCAAGAAACTAGGCTGCATTCATAAATTTATGGTATTAATTTTAAAAAGTGTTTTTAGGTTATTAGGTTTTGGGTTATCATGGAAACATGGCACAGGGTAAACATGACATACAGCCTTCCTTAGACCTAACGGAATGGATGGGGATTATGTATGCAATTTCATGATAATTCGTATCCTTTTACTAAGGTCAAAATTGAGGAGATATATTGTGGGGGTGTTAGATCATCCACTACTGAAATTCTTGTAAAGAAATATTGTGGAATGCTGCTGAACAGGGTGAACCCAGTCCCAACCCCTACAGTTTACATCTGATTAGTAAGGCCAATCAAAACTATTTTTAATGTCCCTTGTCTTGTTGAACATACATCAAGAAATGTATTGCAGACACAATAATGTAGTTGTAGATTAAAACATTCATTCATTCAATCAATTAATCCAATACTTCAGATACAAAGTAGCAAAGAGGTATTAGCCTCTCAATCAGGTGGAGTTAGTCTTTACAATAACCTATGTGATACCACAACACCTTTTAGTATATTTAGCATAATTTAATAAATTATACTAAACAGTATAATTTTAATGCTATTCATTTTAATAAGTATTACTTGTAAATCAAATATCAGAGGTTATACAAATTTTAGTACTGTTTGTGGATTAATTTTAGGCTTCCTTTGGCTAATATTTGATAGACTTTAGCACAAATATTTTAAAGTAATAGATACATATTCCTGTATAAAATCATTTTTTCTCATATCCTCTAATACTTACGTCATAAAGATTAAAAAGAAAAATAGCCATTTACTCCTAAATGTCAACAAAATTGAAGTGAAAATAAGACATTTTAATCTATGGTATCAGCACGAAAGGTTTATACATGAACAAAATTCTTTTCTGAAAAATACAGGTCTTGTTATCATTTGACAGAAGACAGTTAATAAGAACATCTATTTTTAGTAACTGCTATTTACTGTTATTTAGTGAAACTGGTAATAGCCTAGGGCAGCGATAGCGAACCTTTTTTGGCTCACGTGCCATAAATAGGGAGAGCGCAGGGGGGGTTGTGCGCGGACATGTCGCACCCAAATGCAATGTGCGACACCCCCCAGTGTGCATGGGTGCATGACAGGCGCTCCCCCTCATTTTTTGCATGCTTTTTTCGCCCTCCCCAGCTCCAAAGGCTTTATAGGAGCCTGGGGAGGGTAAAAACAGCCTCCCCCCACCGGAGGCTTCGGGGACCTTCAGGCGGCTTCCCTGAAGCATCCGGAGGGCAAAAACCGACCCTACGAGCAAACCGGAAGTGATTTCCGGTTTACTTGTAGGGATGTTTTTAGTCCTCTGGAGCCTTGGCTTCCCTAAAGCCTCCAGAGGGCAAAAAAATGATCCTACGAGCAAACCAGAAGTCACGTACGGTTGTTTTTAGTCCCCCTGAGCCTTCAGGGAAGTCTCCTGAAGGACCCTGAAAGCTCCGGAGGGCTTAAACTGACCCTACGAGCAAACCGGAAGTCCGTTCTCGAACTTTGCCCATAGGGCTGTTTTTTTGCACTCCAGAGGCTTCAGGGAAGCTCCTGAAGCCTCCGGAGGGCGGGGCAGGGGAGGCTCTTTTCACCCTCCCCAGGCTCCTATAAAGCCTCTGGAGCCTGGGGAGGGGAAAAATGGCTTTAAAAAAGGCCCAATTCAGCTGGCCAGCGCGCACATGTGCGCTGGCCAGCTTACAGGGCAACATCTCGCATGCCCTGACAAATGGCTCCACGAGCCACCTGTGGAACATGTGCCATAGGTTTGCCATCTCGGGCCTAGGGGATAAAAAAGCAAGCCTGGACAAATATTATCCAGTTTAAACTCCTTTAAACAGAAAGGTGAAATTTGTGCATAAATGGAGTTGCACATGTATGTTCATCAGTCAAAGTTAAGGCAAAAACCTTTCTGATGTGTAGCCTAAACACTATGTATTTGTATAGCCTATTATGTGATATGCATATCTACTAGTTATATACTCAATAAAACCTCTGCAGGATTTTTCAAAATGTATAATTGCATCTCAAAATTATCAGTTTTGCAACTAAAAGTGATTATTCCTATTCCAATTCAAACATTTCCCATTTCCAGATAAAAAAGAAAGTCTGTGGTACTAAAATATTAAATGACTTAAATACATTAATCGCCAATGTAAAAATAACATATAAATAAATATTGTGTACACAATTTGTGAAATACATTCAAATCTGTTGCTTCTACTAACTTGACATGGGCTTGCCTCTTTTTCTGTCAGAAACATTAATAAAAGGGAAATGGAGGATGGAAATGGACATATGGGAAAAAATGAACACAAACTAAAAACAAAAGTTAAGGAATGCAATAGCAGCAGCAATAGCAGGACACTTTGGCAAAAGTACTCACGCAGAATCTACTGGCCAGAAGTTGATCAGAGTAACAGGACTGCAAGACAAAAAATGAGGAGGTGAAGAGAGAGGCAGAAAAAACTTAGCAGCAAAATAATTACGGAAAGTTAAAAAAACAAAACCCAAAATCAAGAAAATTCAATAGGCTAACATGACTGTCCATGAAAGCAGCCAAAACATGAGAAAGGAAATATTGGAAGAGAAAAATGGAAAGATAGCAAGCTGCAGTGCAATTTTCATTAAAGCAAGTTTTAATAACTAGCAGATTTTTTTTTCTATTAATCTTACAGGATTACAATGGGCAGGTTTGTGAATTTGAATCTAAACATTAATATTTTTTCTGTATCAAGAAAAAAAGGGCATGTTCATTTCTATGCACTAAACTGTAAATTACAGATATTTGGAAGAATTTTCAAGCATTCATTAAGATAACATATATTTTAATTTTATTAACAATTTAAAATAGTGTATGATTTGCAGGTGATTTGCAAGGAGAATAGCAACCAAGACCATAGCTTGCCTTTTCCCTTCAATAAAAATAAACAAATATGAAAGAGATGAAAAAGAAGTAATGTAGTCAGGAAATATAGGGAGCAGTGACAATTGGGAAGCTCAGAACTTATCAAATGAGAAATTATTAATATTCTTCACTCACGTTTCCATGTTGTCTCCTTCCAATACTGTTTGCACAGGCAAATAACCCATTCTTGGATGTTTTGCAAAGTATCTTTTGGTTCGGAATTTATTTTTTAATACCTTGGCAAAGTCACGGACGTCTTCCCCTGAAGTAGTCTAAAAGCAATATTTCAGCAATAGAATTTTATTAGTTTTTTTTTTTTGCAAACTTTTTACATCAGTTTTGCTATTTTTTCAATAAACTGTGTCGTAGTCATTTTAGATGGCCACAAACTTTAATTATTTCCATACTGGAAGTATCTCACAATCTGGTGATTTACAATTTACTATCAAATATATATTTTAGAATTTGCAAAACATTCCTGATCATTATGTGTACAAAGAAACATTTAGTTCAATATTAAGATTTTCCTCTATGACTGTGATGACGAACCTATGCCACATGTGCCTGAAGTGGCACACGAAGCCATGTTGTGTGGCACACGTGGTGTTGCACGTTCCTCTTCTGGGTTTCTGGCACACATACGTGCACAACGATCAGTTGGCCTTCATGTATGCAGCAGTGCCAGAAACTGGAAGAGCTGGTCTTCCGTTTTCCTGCATGAGCATGCACTCCAGCCAGCTGATGGTCGTGCGTGCATGTGCACCAGTAACAGGAAGAATAGATGGCCGACGTGCATGTGCACGCTGGAACCGGAAGTGCATTTTTGGGCACACACGCTCTGGGCAGGTCCTCTTCCGAGTTGCGGGCCTGACAACTGAGCGTATGCACGCACTCCCTTTTCAGCACTCACCATTACTGCTCTATGCTTTTAGCCATTTTTTTCTACAAGACAGAAACCCTGTGATTTCAAGATTACAATATATCAAATGTTAAAATACAAGTATGTCAAACCCATGATATTCTGTAATTTTCTACATGATAAGTAAATAAACTGACAAACAATTTTGCAACCAAACAAGCAAAATACCTGTAAAGCATATAGTTCTTTATGTATAACAAAAGATTGTTATGCCATAATAAAAGCAGACCTGAACAAAAGGAATACAATTATCCATTTTTATAGTGGAAGAACTGTTATCTATTATGCTTATTAGATTTACAATAGATATTTTTTAACCGAAGGAAAGAAACACATCTTTCTCTCTTTCCATTCAGAATCAGTCCACTGCAGAAATGAAGAGTATGAACCATAATCTGTGTTTTCAACTTCACAATCTAGCATGAGAGAATATTATGGTGCAAACTTGCCTGATTGATTTCTGTTCTTTCAACCAACACATGGAAGAGAGGATGCTTAGGTAATGTAGCTGTTTCTATATATCTTTGTGAACTAACAAACATCCAGCTCTACTCCCAATAAGATACAGTAATTATTTCCCTCTTTTGTTGAAGTAAGACCCAGTATCTTTTGGACACCTCATTAATATCTCAAGTTCTTTTGTGATGACTAAACTGAACAACTCTTTCATTTAAGGTCTCAAATCCAAAGACTCAGCTCTATTCTGACATATCACATCAAGGTCTGAAAACAATGGTCCATTTGTGACACCTTTGCAAAAAGTGAATGTCTAACCAAACTATAGAAAATCTGCCAATGTGGATACCCATGGATAGTGACCAAGAATCTCGTTGCTCAACTAAGACAAGGACAAGCCCCAGGAGAAGACCTTATCCCTCCATGGATCATTAAAAACAATTTGAACTTGGAGGAGGAGCCAACATCACGATGATACGAACGTGCGGTCTCGATGCTCCGAGACCATAGCCGATACTTTTGCCGCTGGGTGGTCCAATCGGACCTAAACCCTCCTGTAGAGACGGTGAACAGGAAGAATATGTCTTGCTGACCTCAGGGACATCGCAAAGTCCCTGATCGATGCAAGAGAAGTTCTTCAAGTTGGCGACAAAGTCGGGGCGGCTCCAAAAAAGAAGGATACGAAAAGAGAAAGTATTTCCAGCTCGTGAGAAACTTTTACTGTTTTAAAAAGAGACTGCCTATAAAAAACTTAAAATTAATTTAAATTGGAGAACAGAAGAAATAAGCAGTGGAATTAAATTTGGAAAGGTTTTGGACAGTGGGTTATCTTCATTTTTAAATGCTATCATCATGGATGGAATTTATGCAAGCCTTTTAAAATGAATGGATTAAGTTTTTTTCTTCTATTTTTTTTTCTTTTATTATTCTCTGTAACCTATGGACTAAAATTCTCATCTTTCATTACTGTGGGTATTCTCCTAACCCATTCAAGAATCGGACTTTTTTAAACCTTGAAATACAAAAAAGATACAAAAAGAAACAAGGAAAATTGCAACAATAATACTGCTACTTGGAGGCTGGAAGGTTTATTGGAAATGAAAAACTTATTTTTCTCACTGATTACTTGGCTTGGCACTCCAAGGTCTCACTGCTTGTTTATAGAGAGTAATAAGAAGGAAAGCATACAGATGTCCCTTTGAAGTATATGTTTAACCAGAGAAAAGTGAAAATAAAACATTATTGTGAATCTATGCTTAATCTCTCTGCCCCGTGCCAGCTCAGTGTAGTGGCGGACGTGATGTGCCGATACTTGGAAGCTGTCAGGGTCTGGATGGGAGTGAACAAACTTGCACTCAATCCTGACAAGACTGAGTGGTTGTGGATGCTGCCCCCGAAGGACAGTCCAGATAGTCCATCCTTAATCCTGAGGGGTGAGAATTTACACCCCTCAGAGAGGGCCTGCAACTTGGGGGTCCTCCTGGATCCACAACTGACATTGGAACACCATCTGTCGGCTGTGACCAGGGGAGCCTTTGCCCAGGTTCGCCTGGTGCATCAGTTGCGGCCCTATTTGGATCGGGAGGCACTTCAAACGGTCACTCACGCCCTTGTCACCTCAAGACTGGAGTACTATAATGCGCTCTACATGGGGCTGCCCCTAAAAAGCGTTCAGAGACTGCAACTAGTCCAGAACGCAGCCGCGCAAGCGATATTGGGTGTACCAAGGTACACCCACATTACACCTATCCTCCGCGAGCTGCACTGGCTTCCTATTGGTCTCCGGCCGCAATTCAAGGTGCTGGTCATAACCTTTAAAACCCTACATGGCTTAGGATACCTGCGAGACCGCCTACTGCCGCATATCTCCCAACGGCCGGTAAGATCGCACAGGGTGGGCCTCCTTCAGGTGCCGTCAGCCAGTGTCAGCTGGCGGCTCCCCGGAAGAGGGCCTTCTCTGTAGCCGCTCCGACCCTATGGAATGAAATACCCCCCGAGATCCGGACCCTACCCACTCTCATGGCCTT